ACTCTTCATTCAGATTTTATGCCATTTTATGCCACTAGCAATACCAGGTATATAAAAAGCACCATATACTTCCTAAGATAGATAAAATCAATTGGACATTTCATCATTTTAACCATAGATGTCAAGGCACTGTGCACTAACATTCTCCACAAATTTGGACATCAAACTATCATGACTAGACTAGAGTGACTGTATGCTGATACATCGGCAATGCTCAACCTTTTGGGCACCAGGGACCATTTCCATGGAGTGGTTTTTCTGTGGACTGGAGGGGGCGTGGTTTTGTGTGTTGCCTGCATCCTGCGAATAGGGCTTCGCTAGTTTGCATGGCCAAGTTTCTGGCATGCCACGGATTGGTGCCAATCATGGACCCTTGTACTACTTGACTACTTCACCTTTGACAATAACATACTTTCAGTCGGCAATATTTGAAAGTATATTATGCCCATGGCTCCAAATTTGCAAACATCTTCATGTCTGACCTAGTACAATTGCTCTTTTTACTTGAGATTCATTGATGACATTTAAACATCTGGACCTCTGGAAATGAATAATCAAATTACCCCATCATCTTTAAAAAAAAAGTCCACTTTGATGTCATGGTAAAACAGCACAATAGACACAAAACAGCATTCAGGAACCCTACAAATCACTGCTACATGTTTCCAGTTTCCACCCAGAATATGGTATCAAATATATCTAGCAGTGGGCCCTCCTCCAAATTTTTTGGGCACCAGAGTCTTGTTCCACGGAGAAAGGTTTTTCCATGGACCAGCGGGGGCATAGTTTTGCATCTGTCTGCATCCCACGGAGGGGTCTTCATTTGTTTGTGTGGTCCAATTTCTGGCATGCCACGGACCAGTGCCAGTCCAGGAATCGGGTTGGGGACCCCTGACCTATAGGATCTACACTACAACTGCATTTGTTCTGGCCAACTTGCAGTGATGAATTAAAGTGGACATTCTATAAACCCACCTAAATTAAGAAGACAAGATATCCAGAAAAGGGAGGATGTATTAAAATACAACAAAAACACAACATTACTGGTTATGTGCAGTTCAAGCCACTCACACAATAAATAGCAGCCCATATTGGATATTGCATTTTTTAAGGCACTGGGTGGCAGGTTTATACTTGACTATGGAAAACCATTCAATATGAAGTAGATGACAAGAAATAACAGGGTTATGATGCTAAGGAAGTGGATAATCCCAACCAACTCCCCACATTTACATCAACAGCACCATCAGGCCCCACCAACTTCATACACATCAGAGACACATAATGTAATAGATGATATTATCTCTGGATTTTATGTAGGCCAAACAGGCCAAACTTTGCAAAAAGAATTGATGGATGCAAGTTTGATACCAGGACTTAGAAAGAAATGGCAAAGTAATCTTGGAGCATTTGAACCTGGCAGGACACTCCATTACAGATTTCAAAATAGCCATATTTTGGGAGGGGGAGGAAGAAGAAACGAGTGAGATTGCTCAACTCATACAGTTAAAAGTTTCAGGCTAGCTAACAAATGCTATAGGATTTTAATGTATTACAGTTGTTAATTGATATGGTGCTTGTAATCTGTCTCATGTATAATTTGCACCTGCCTAACCACCCTGTCTTCCCCCTCTCTTCTGACCCGTCTCATCCTAATTTAAATTCTATGTCAGTTTAGTCTCTCCATGCATCCATGAAAGCTTAAGCCTTTTAATAAAATGTGTTATGAAATCCTTGGTACTGTCTGAGCTTGGTGGTTTGTTTGCAGTCATTTCATTACCAGTTTAACGTCATCAGAGTGAATATGTGATTTGCTCCCTGTTTATATATAAGCACCCCCAGATTAAGAACAAGTTCTGTTCACTGTCTTTAACTTGAATTTGTATTTAAGTCGGAACTCATGTTTACAAATGGACTGCCTATTACTTAAAATGACATGAGTGTATTGTCCTTTGTCAAACCAAGAGCACTAAAACTAGGCAATATTTTCAGGAACTATTGAAAACATGAAAACCACTATATACCAGGAACACATGGTTTCATTGCTTCATCAGAATGAGGAAGAACTATGCTGTCTGCTGTTTTTAGTAATAGGCAGCATACTTGGGGACTGCCTATGCAGTAGCTTGCACTGTCAGTTTTGGTGAGGGTTGGTATTCCCTTGATTAGGGTATGATTTTCTGCATGTTTGCCTGGTGTTGATCCCTGCTTATCTGGGTGTCAGCTGTTGGAAAGAATGCTTCCTGATCTTTTCATTTCCTTCTTAGCTTTTTTTAATTGTCTCTTGAATGGTATATAAATATGTTTTTTCCCCTGTGTCTGTTAATGGCTGATTTGCCTAGCATTTTTGGATTTAGCTTGGTCCAGAATGTTCATGTCTTACTTAAACTATTGTTAAATCTGTTTATGTGTTGTGACAGTAAGGAATTTTCTGTTCTGACTGCTAATTGCTGTTCATGGATGTGTTCTAGTCTTCTCTGCCTGTCCATCCTACATAACGGTAGGATGGACAGGCAAGAGGACAGGCATAATGGTTGTTACAGTACTTGAATTGTATGATATCGATGACTTCTCTGTTTTCTTCTTCTTGGGCTCCTGGGTCTTTTGGTTTACTTATGTTTTGGACAGCTTTAGTAGGTTTGCGTGCTACATTAATGCCAAGGCTTGTAATAGTTGATTGTTTCTGAGATGTTTCTGATGTAAGGCAGCATTATCCTTTTCATAGCTTATGTAGATTGTGCTGCACTGGATTGAGTTGCCAGGCACATTTGATAAAATTGTATGGATATCTATTTTGTTGGAAGAGTTGTTGGAAGGGCCGTGGCCCACTGGTGGGCTGTGAGAAAATTTTGGTGGGCCACAGAGAAATCTCACCCCCAGAGCACCCCCCTCAAAGCAATTAATCCAGGCTGCGCAGAAACACAAGGCTGCTCAGCCCACATGGCTCGCGGGAACCCTCCCCGCCCACTCACTCCTTACCCGGCAATCTTGCCTGTTACGTTGCTATTTTTCCTTTTTCCGACCATCATCTGTTCTGCTCTGCCAGGAGATTTAGATTAGCTAGGAAGCAGGAAATGGTTGGATTTCTTGCTTTCTAGCTAAGCACAGCCCAACCTCCCTTAGGACTGAAGGTTTGCTTGCAAGCAAATTCAGTGCAGACTCACGGCAAGCAAATTTGAGAGCTAGACGATGGCAGATAGATTTCTGAATGAATCTGTGATTCTGTGAGCAACTCAATCTGCCTGCCTGCTTTGCCTGATTTTGGGTAAAAGTTGATCTTTTTTTTAATAAAAAATTCAATATTTATATAAATATTTATAATATTTACATACAAGCCAGCCCAGCCAGTCACATAACCCCCAAGCCACACCCACAAATTAGGCCACACCCACAGAACCAGATAGTGGTCCCTGGGATCTAAAATTATGAGTTTGGTGGTCCCTGAGGTCCAAAAGGTTGGTGACCCCTGGGATAGGTGGTCTATTTCTTTTTTCTAGTATTTTTGGATTGCTGCAGTCATTGTACTTGTGTGATTCAGAGATTCTGAGTCATCCAGGTCATGGTTGTCCCAAAGGTACTTTTTCAAGAGGCAACTGGACTTTCTGGTTTTTCTTTGAAGACGTTTCGCTTCTCATCCAAGAAGCTTCTTCAGCTCTGACTGGATGGTGGGGAATGGAAGGATTTATATTCCTTGCAGACAGCTAGTCATTTGCATTCTTTTAGAGAGTTACTGAGGCCACTTGGAGGTTTATCTGTGTTATCAGGGTCACCTGAGTGACGCAAATGGGTGTGGAGCCTTCTTGGAACTGTTGAAAGGACTGTGTTTAGGGTGGAGATGTATCCCTCCCCCTCTTTTGAGAGAGGGCTCTTCAATTTTGATATAAAAGACATTGGGGTGGGCTGCAAATATTTTTACTACTGGTTCTGTAGGCCTGGCTGGGGGGGCGTGGCCATGTGACTGGGTGGGTATGGGTTTTTTTTTTCAGCAACCCCTCCCCCCCGCGGTACTTCATTTTTTTTGCCTCCTGGGCCTCAGGGAAGCCTCCTCGGAACAAAAACAGCCCCCCAGGAGGCTTCCCTGAGGCCCAGGAGGCAAAAAATAGAGTGTGGGGAGGCTGCGCAGCACACCCCCCCCCGTGTGCCCCCTTTTGCCTCCTGGGCCTCAGGGAAGTCGTCTGGGTGAAGCAATAAGACAGCGGGGGGGTGGGGGGAATCCCGGCATAGCTGATCGTCAGAACAGCTGATCATCGGGAGGAGGGAAAAAAAGCAATACTGAAAGGAGTGACTGGGTGGGCGGGTGAGAATGCAGTCAGCGATGTGCATGCATGCGATGTCGCGCATGTGCAATAAGGACCGACTGGGAAGGGAGGGGAGGAACAGGCAGAGAGGGGTGAGGCCAGCCAGGGGCACAATTTGCCAGTTCTCCGAACTGCACAGAATCATAACAACCGGTTCTACCAAACCGGTCTGAACTGGTAAAATCCCACCCCTGGATGACGTTGGCATAGATTGAGGGAAAATGCTTTAAGAAAGTAGGTAGGTAATTGGACAAATGGGATTTTTTTTTTTAAAAAAAATGAACATCTTTAAAGGCACTCTTAGAGTGAATATATTTCAAGAAAGGGCAGTTACTGAAACTGAGAGACCATAGTAGAAGCATCAGTAAAATGAATCCATTCCATTTTTTCCTTCAGGTACAAATTTACACATTCCAATACTATAAAAAGGTGCATGCAAAGACTAGGTCCAACTTGTGAATAATTTTAACAGCAAAATTCAGTAGAAAAATATCAGCTGTGAACTCTGGTGTTTTGCTATTTACATGCAAATAAGACAACACCTGGAATTTGAGATACAAGTAAAAAAAAATACCAAACACTTTACAAAAAAAGTTAAGAATACTGAAAACAATTCAAGCCTAGTTGGCCTTAACAGGAAGTTCTTCAATATGTTCTGGGAATGGCCACTGTAGAAAAAAATCATTAACTTCATAGGAAAAAAAAAAGGAAAACTGAGTCATCCTTCACTCCTGAAGATTTTGTATTTGTGTTGTTTTCTTATAAGAATATGGAAGAGTTTTTCCATCCCCGCTTCTTGAGATATTGCTTTTAACATTCTAATCTAACCAAAGCTCTGCTGATCCCTGGAGGTGTTTCATCGAGGTAATAAAAAAAAAACCCACCAAAACTTTTTCCTTTTCACTGGCTCAAGTTGCTACTTGTCTGAATAAACAGCATTACCTGCATGCTTGTAGCTGAGATTGCTGTATACCCTGTACCCATTTTTGTCATTGTGTCTTGTTACCGCATGCAGAACTCCAGGGAACAGCAGTAAAACAACATCAAATGAAAACTCTTTCTCTATTTCTGTGCTTCTACTCAAACGTGTCAGATATGAAGCAGCCCATGAGATGCTAGATTATTTAGATCTGCCTTTTGAGCTGAATCTGAATTTTGAGCATGGCAGACATTTAATGCACCAAGAAGCAGAACTATAAAATCTTTAGGCAATGGAAGCAAACTATAATTTAAACAGATTTATAACACAGGGTTACTTATATCTAAATAAACCTGGCTCAGTGTGCAAGGTTACAAATGAAAGCTTAGTTTTCTATGAAAAATAAATAAAAGGCCTTTTAAAAAAGGCCACTCTGAAAGGTCTGTATTTTGCCTACACCATGCTATGTTTCTACATTTAGATACATTTTTTATGTGCAGGACTATTCAAATAGCTTCTAGACCTGGCTTTATGGGCAGAATTCAAAATTTATATCATCTTTTAGACAAATATAACCACAAAGCAAAATAATGTGAAGTTCTTTGTCCGGTCCTAAATTACAGCATCCTTCCTGTTTTGCCTAACTCCTTGAACACTCTTTGATATAGCATATTTACCACTCTTGTTTCTATCTCTCTTAATGAGTACTGCAGATAATCATATGTTTATACTTGAAAACAACTTAATAAACATTAGGGGAAGTGCCATCAGATCAATCCATAGACTGGATGAAAAAGATCATGCCTGTTATGCAAAATTCGCTTCAAAATTTTGATGCATAAATAGCCAGGCAAAAGGCTAACCAGTGTCCACGGTAAGGACCTTTTATGGAAGTGTTACATGTAGGAGTACCTTTTAAAAAGAAACGATCCTCTCTTTAAAAGAGAAGAGCCTTAGCATGAAAGAAAAGGGAACGTCTGATGAAGTCCTGTACCAATATAAGATTAAGGTGGGCCCAGTTCCGGAGCTTGCTAGATGGCTCCCTGCATGGGTTTCTGGCAATTTCAGTCTCCTTATTGCAGTAGGTCTGTTATCAGCAGGTAACAGTTCTGTTTTCAGTCCATCTTTTCCCTGGAAATGTTTATATGCAAAGCAGCACACTTGGAATTCGTTATTTCTGAAAACTCTTGTTACATTCCAGATTCTTTCAAAGTTTTGGGAGACTGTGGAAGACAAGAAAGACAGCCTTTAGAATTATCTAGTAATTGTTTGCCTCCACTAGAGTAAATATTTCATTAACTCTTGATAACAGACAAGAATTTCAATAGATTTGTAAGTCCTTCTGTTTTAAGGAAGGACATTTTCCTGTCAATTAACTTATTTATAGGACAATGTAACCTTTATCTATAACTTTAAAGCAAATAATATGAAGTCTGTAGCACTACAGTCAAGTTTTAGTTCAAACTACAGTCAATCACTTCAACTTAAATGTGAGGCATATGGCTTTTAATAATCCTTGGTTAAGTGATCTGGATTCTGCTTGATTTAGAAGCCCTAAATAACTAACCTGTTGGTAATCTACAGAAACTACTGAGATATAGTAATGTTCGGGGATCATTCTCTCTCTCTCTTCCTACTTATATTGTGCAATTGGTCAGTTTTATTCCATGTTCACACCAGGTCATCTGAATTTCCCTTTTCCTGGATCTTAGCGTTGTTTCCTATTTTCTTGACCAAGGTTTCTGGTCGGATTAATCTTTATGTCAAATGTTTTTCCCTCAATTCACATATATTCTCAAATATTCATATAAAACGACCGGAGAGATATCAAATACACCCACTTGCACCTCGTTAGAAGAAGCAGTCATTATGGGTGATTGATTTGCATGGCTTCTAAAAGCAGGATGACAGGTTCCAGGTCTCGATTCAGATTTAGTCTGATGCTTGATTGTTTTTAAAAGGACCAAGTGGAGGAACATTAAGGCCAGGCTCGAAATCAAAACAGTATTGCAGGGCAGCTCCACACTCAGAGGGGGAATCTGGAGGATGAAACCTTTCCTCAGCTCTTACCCTTAACGTGTTGGAACCGGATGTGGAACTGAACTCTGAGTACTTGTCAGAACTCTTGGTCTTGCCACGTCTGCCCTGGCACAACCAGCGGTAGTAGTCGTCACGCACCTAGACACAAACAATAACTTTAGGAAATTCTGGTCTTTGTACCTGTATCTTTTCACTGCTTTGCACACATCCACACCTTGATGCTTGTCTTTTTTGAGTCTTTTTTTTTTTTTTTACAAACACCCAACATTATATGCCCAACTTACAGTGCAATGCTATACTTGTCTGCTGAGAAGTATATCCTATCATATTCAATGTTCTTTACTCCCAAATAAATGCCCGGAAGACTTCAGTCTCTGAGTTGGTTCCCAACATATTGGCCTTTCTACAAATACAGGTACCTGTTTTTTGAGTACGCAGTGCAGGAGGAAGATGAAGAGACCCTGTAGGCTGTTAAAGATGGTGAAGAGGTAAGACAGGACGAGAGTTTGATTGCTGAACTGAAACAAGCCAAAGATCCAAGTAATGCCTAGAATACAGAGCTGTGCAATGGCTGTGATTGTGAACATCCTGTAGGAAAAGAGATTTGGGACACAACTTAACACCTGTTGCTATGGTCCTTAACCTTATGTAATGAGGGCTAGCCTTGAAACGGAATGTGGAGGACGTCTACTACACCAAACAGGGCTAGGTAACAGCCTATGCCCTAATTCTCCACTAGGATTATATTAGATGGAGCTTTTGAAAATCATTTTATTAAATAAATCATTTATTATTCAAGGGATTATTATAATCTCACCAGTTATTAATTCCTGATCTTTTAAGACACAGATGATCGCTTTTTCTTGGCTACTTACCTCTGCTTTTTCAATTTAGTCAAATCAGGGTTAATGTCGGCAAACTTCTCAGAAAGCCTCCAGACAGTAATAAGAAAGACAACAGCATTGACCTGTGTGGAAAAGATTGGATAAGGATAATCAGGCTTTGAGATGAGCACTAGCGTAAATATCACAGCTTTCCTAGCTTCCTTAATGGAAGCTTAAAGATACGAGTATTAAGCTTTTGAAAGCTGGACAGTATTAGAATTAGAGAATTCTGCTTTGACAAATTAAATCCAAGCTGTATAGTCACCAGGAGTCATTTCAGTTTCGTCAGTTTATTTATATCAGATATTTTTTTTGGGGGGGGGGGGGTGAGCGTTTTAATTTGACATTAGATAATGTATATAAGAAATGGGGTGAATGCTTTTCTATAGGAGAGGCCAAAGTTGTCCCTAACAGATGGATCAAGGGACATAGAGCAGGAACAAGACCACTGCATCCAAAGTTAAATACAAATAAATGGTGCCTTTAAAAAAGTTACAATAGACAAGCTGGGATAATGTTCAAAGATTAATATTTTAAGCGATTCCCAAGGCAGAGATTAGAAGGAAGAAAGAAGACTTGAGTACACATTCAGCATTACCACGATGATGAAGGAGACAGGTCCCAGGAAGCTCCACAAGAACCCACTTTCCCTGGAAAGCCAGCAGCTGTGTAGAAAGGCAGAGGGTGACTTGTTTTGTAGGTAACGACCTATATCGTTCTTTTTTTGACCATTCACTTAGATCTGCTCCTCTGCCCCTTTAGCAATTCATTTTCCTAAGAAAGCTCACTACAACTTATGCAGGAATGTGTAGAAGTGAGGAGGTCATAGGGGATTTAGGCTGGCCAGGGTAGGTTCCTCTACTTGCCTGCTCAACCGCTTTACTTCACAAGCAATTCCAATATGACATGCACCAGAGGACCTAGTGACACATTCATATTCAAGATCCTGTCACCTGTACACAATGCCCAGGTACTCTCTAGCTCATGACTGGGGGAGGGGTGGTGGTTGGGGACCCAAATTCAGGACTCACTTTCTGCTGCTGTATCCTTTGCTGTTGATGGCAGCAGAGATGCCCACCAAGACAGCTGGGGTTCCATATCCCACAAGAAAGGTGTGCCAGTGTTTAAGGCTATGTGTGTTGAAGACCTGAACTACCATCAAGTAGAGCTGCACACCCTCAAGTAGCATCCAGCAGAAGACGCAGAGGAAGGAATAATGGAGCAATCCAGCAACTACAGCGCATGCCTTCTAAAAAGGGAAACAAAAATTAGACTAAACAATTCTGGCAGCAGTTTCAAAATCCAGTCCACATCCTTCTTCCTAGAGGAGGACATCATTCATATTCAGGAAAATTCTCTTCAAATAGCAATGTGATGCACTCTTCCTACTTGTTTAAGGTCCAACAGCACTCCTTAATACTTGTGCCTCTTGGCATCCTAACTGGTTTGTTAGATACTTTTATCTTGAAGGAACAAGTACAGACCTTTATAATATTAGGAACTGGACTGGACTTATTGACCATAGAAGGAGCTGTCAAACCATATTTAGGCAACTTTCCCCTAGGCAAGTCAATGACATTTAATTTGGATAGTGGGAAGGAGGAACACCCCACTATCAGCTTGGCTAGAAATCCAATCTCTCCCAAATTCTCTATTAAAGGAGAGGGAGGTGCATTTTAATGATATTTTAAAAGTGGGAGGTATGGATTCCTTTTTTAAATGCACATTATAAGGGATTGGCCACACCCAGTCTTCTCCATTAAGTGGAGGATTTTCCACTTATTTCTTTCAGCTGTTTTCCTCAGAAAGCCTCCCCCAAGTGTGCAATCAAAATCCTTAGCAATTACTTACTGTATTGCTAGATATCCCAGTGCCCAAGAAGATGACATGGGCAGCAAAGAGGGACAGGCAAAGGTGGAGGTGGATGGTGGTGCGGATACCTTGGATGGCACGGCAGAACAGGAAGGTGAGGATGGAGAAGAATAGGCAGATCAGAGACACAACCAGCCCAACCTTTGTGATGACAGACAGGCCCCAATCCTGGAGTAAAAACCAGTATAGGCAATTAATGAAGGCAATTAATGTAGTAGAAGTCGGGTCTTGTCAACTTGAAAGAACCTCACAGAAGCTTCAGGTAATAAAAAAACTAATGACTTAAACTTAAATTGCCAATATCTAGTGACAATTCTTTGATGCTTCAGCCCTTCTTATTGTAAGAAGGGCTCAAAAATCAGACTGAAAAGGAGTTAACCAGCCCCAATCTCTGGCTGAAATGTTTTTTGTTTTTGCTTTCTGGACAGCCTCCTTTGATCATGCTACCTTCTTAAATACCAGGAACCTGACTCTCCTTAAAGTAGTAAATTTCAATAATCTGATCAAAATCTTGGTTCTAATTCTGTCTCAATGCTTTCACTTTAGGAGTCTGTCATCTTCACTGCTCCCACAGTCTTACTACTATTTTTGAAGTTCCATGGGCAGTGAAGGACCTGAAGGCACCATTTCCCCAATACTCTGCTGGAGGGAGAACAGGCCAGTCTTTCCACAAGCCAACCAAGTTGGCCACCTGCAAAAAAAATCTCTTTTTTCTTGCCATCTTGGGCTTGCTTTGACTTTATCTCATGACATATTTTGTCTGAGCCTTGTGCGCTTGGATGTTCTTCTATCGGAGGGCTACACTCCAAATGAGTGAGCAAACTGGTCAGCCAAGGAGAGACAAGATGATGGTGGGAGTGGAGGAATGGGCAGAAGTGCAAAATTGTATTTATTTCGACTTAGATGCCACCCAACTCCAGGTTGACTCTGGAATGGTTCACAATATGAAAACCAGAGTGGTAAGTAGGCCATGGTGATGGGGATGCCACAGAAACTGAATAGCCTGAGAGGCCTGCTCTCTTCTGTTTAAGAACAAAACAAAACTCTGCTATTGCCTTAAGTTGCTTTCCTCTGTTTCTAATAAGCAATTTTATACTGTAATTAGTTCAAATAACTTGGATACCTAATATATAATTTTTCCATCTCTAACACAGCATCTTAAAAGATGGTGCAATTTTATAGGTAAAAGATATGAGTACTAGCACTTGTACCAGAAATGCATATTTCTTCTCTGACAAGGAACTCCAATTATGAATAACAAATCAACCCTACACCCATTTCTTTCGCTTCTCTTCCCTGACTTAAACCCATTCCTAACTTGTCTACAGTATTTTCTTGTTGGGACTTGCCTCCACATCATAGAAGGCCATGAGGACTGCAAAGCTGGTCATGTGGTTGCAGCGGCAATATGTCCTGTTGGCAGTACTGGTGTTCAGACGTTCGCACCCTTTTTGAGACCAATGTCCACCTCTGTCGGTTGGCTTCCAGAAAGCACAAATCACCTTTGCATCAGGCTTTGATTCCTAGAAAGGAAATACAGGAATATGGAGACAGGATGAAATGAGCCAACATTGTCCAGTGCATACACATTTGAACTCTGCATATATATTATTGCCATTCTGTAGACCAAGAGAAGACGAAGGAGAAATGGATACTCACTGGTTTTGGATGGTTAAAGGAGAATGTGACGGGACTGCTCAGGGCAGCGGTTTCATTATGGCCTACAAAAGCAGAGACCACCTTGGACAACACTTTATAGTTGGACTTGCTGGTCTCTTTCATAAATTGTTTGGATTTTCCTACTTGTTTCCAGTCATTTCCTTCAATATCTGCACTCAACAGGATGCTCCCTAGATTCTGGTAAGACAGGAGGCCAACAACACTGGGGCCTGAAAAGGGAAGAGTCATTCAAATGTGAGGATGCGGAAGTTACTGGGATGAGACAATCCAATGCTGGTCTACATAAGCAGGAGAATGCAGTGAGTGAATTCTCTCTGTTTAAAGTAGCAATGGAGAGAAATAGTATCTGCAAATTCAGGTCCATGTGGGAAAATAATCTTTGCAAGCGGAGAACTAGCCCAGCAGGGAATTGGACAATCTTGGAAAGAGTCTCATATAGAATTTTTTTTAATACTCCTCTCTCTCCATAGTCTCATTGTACAATTCCCAGTTCATAATTAGATATTTGTATTCTGTATAGAGTTTAACTGGCATTTTTAGGAATTTAAAAAATATATTAATATATATTCAATTGCTTATTGGAATAATCGCAAATTATAATTTATATAATATAAATTATAAATGATATTAAACAATATATCCCTTGTTTATTCACCTGACTCTATTCCTTTGTGCCTTTTCCTTCTGTGTATATATTTTCCCTGTGTTCAATAAAAATGTATATTAAAAATTTATTGTGGTCATGTATCATTTAGTTTTAAGAAACTTATCAACACAAAAACTGCCTATCATTTCTTCAAAGTATAAGAATTGTCTTTCATCAGACTGAAAGCTCATTCAATTTAGTATTCTGTTGATAAAAATGAATACACAGATGATTCTGGGAAACACAAGCAGAGACAATCTTTCCCTTAAATCCTCTAACCCACAACATTATTTAGAAATACTTCAGAAATTGAATGCTCTATTTTCATTCTGTCAAATATTGTGATTTTTAAAAACTACACAAGGTCTCCACTAATAGTGGTAAGGAATTCCATACATTAAATCCAACATTGTGTCCTGAACATTTTCCTAATTAAACTCCTTTGAGAAACCCTCTAACAGAGTAAGAAAAAAAAAATTAACAACCTTCCTCCTTGCCATTTTTAAAAATAAAACAATAACATGTCTTCACAATCAGTTGTTTTCTAGTACTTCCCTTCAAAGGAAATGCTCCCAAGATTTCTCTTCTGCTGGCCCACGTTGGTTTTTTAATCCTATTTCTCTGCCCATTCCAGTGGTAGGATTCAATTATTTTACTAACGGTTCTGTGGGCGTGGTGGGCGTGGCAGGGAGAAGGATACTGTAAAATCTCCAGTCAGAGGTGGTATTTGCCGGTTCTCTGAACTACTCAAAATTTCCGCTACCGGTTCTCCAGAAAGAAACCTAACCTGGCCCAAAGAAACCTATTTGTCTGCCTATGCTGGGTGGAGCAGAAGAGGGATGAGTTCCCAGGTCTATAAAGAAAAAGAAGGCAAGTAGAAGGAAGGCCTGGGTAAGAAAGGAAACCCTCTTCAATGACCTATATCTCCAACAAGAAGTCTTCTGGAGTAGCCTGCTGAAAGAGCAAGTTCCACCCTCCAAGGGCATACGTTTCTCAGCTAATTACTCCTAAGACAATGTGGCTCCCCACAGAGAAGAGAACTCCTGTGCCTAAAGACTGGCCCAGAAGCTTTGACCCCAAGAAGAACTTTTCCCTTCTGTTGCCTTCCCTTCAGCTTTTGCAGGCTGTTAACAGGCATATTCTGTTCTTCTCACGTCATCACCCACGCACTTCATTGTGATGCTGCAGCTTTTTACCTTCTCCCTTCTTGCTTGCTGCTTCCCAGCTTACATCCATCTGTGTTTCGTTCAGCCACAGTTGCGCTAGATCTTGGCTTGTGTTGCCTGCTGTCCTGATTTCCATTGCCAGCTCTGTTACAAAAGGGAAGGAAGATGACAAGGTTAGGAAGGAACAGAAAAGGACAAGTGGCAGGACAGTCTCTGAAGTAAACACCACTTTCCTCCAAATTTTCCAATTATTCAAGCAACAGATTTATCCAACAAGGGAGGGGGAACTACCAGAAAGCAGAATGAAACTGGGGAAGGAGAGCTCATTTCATATTTCAAAAGTATCCTCCTCATCCTCCTTAAACATATTTTAGGATGGGGTGAGGAATCATGGCTCTTTTATGACTTGTGGACTTCAACTCCCAGAATTCCTGAATTGAGATCCACAAGTCATAAAAGAGCCATAGTTCCCCATCCCTGCTGCAGCACAATTCCCAATCAGCCACAGTCAAATTCATCTGGAAGGCATCACGTTAGGGGTGGATAAGATTCAAAGGAGATGCCTTTGCAGCACTGGTGGTATTCAGCAGGTTCTGACCAGTTCTGGAGAACCAGTAGCGGAAATTTTGAGTAGTTTGGAATTACACCTCTGACTGGCTCTGTCCCCCATCTATTCTCTGCCTCCCAAGTCCCAGCTGATCGGCTGGGTCTTCTTTTGTTGCCCTGTACAGGAGTATGGAGCTGGAAAGCCGGTTAGTGGGCTTGGGGAGAGAATGGATTTTACAGTATCTTTCCCCTGGAGTGGGGTGGGCGTGGAGATTTTACAGTCTCCTTCCCCTGCCACGCCCACCAAGCCGCACCCACAGAACCGGTAGTAAAAAAAATTGAATCCCACCACTGCTTTGCAGTGGATGGAGAGAATTCCTCGGCAAGGCCAGCCATGAGGGAAATCTCAAATCACCCCAACTCTGTATACTAACCTGTGCCTGCTTTGGACCTGATTGTGGTGTTTCCATTGGGTAGGGCCAACGCAAACATCCTGAGCCAGGTTTCCATCACTTGCATTACCTCGGTGGCCACCTGGTGACTCTGCTGCTTATTCTCAGCCTCCATCAAGTTCAACAGATTGTCCAATTTGTCCAGTGTTTCCTAAAGCATGATGACACTTGTGTTTATGGGAAAAGCAATGGCACTCAAGAGACACACTCTGGCTCATTGTTAAATCCACCGTGCATAGATAAGCACAGCAATGGAGAATTTCAGTGGGATTTCTGAGCATGTAAGATCTAAGAAATAATCTGCCTCTTTACCAGCAGCCAGCCGAATATGCCGGGTGATGTCTCCATTGTTATCGCATTAAAATATTCTTTTAATTAAAAGGTAATCTAGCATGCTATAAAGCAGAGGACTGGTATCGAGCACTGCATTTGTGTCCATGAATGCTTCTGGGTCCTACCCAGAATGTACAATTTTCAGAGAAAAGAAGGAAAGTGCTTTATTGAAGGGGTGCCCTTCTACTCTTCCAAAGGACAAATGCTGAGATGGAAAGAGAGTCTTTCCTGGTCTGTAGGGACTACGAGCGGCTGATGCCTCATTGGAGCCATTTGGTGGGTGAGCCTATGGCACATATTCAAAATGCCACATTTTGATCCCATGTGACTGATCATCCTCATGTGAGAGTATGAGCTAATGTGTTACAGCATCAGCTTTCCTCATCCTATAGTTCTTTGGGGATTAGAATACCCACTGTTTCCAGCAAGTAGAGCTAATGACCACATTGGATGTGATGGTGCCAGTTGTGGACACAAAACTGCTAGAAAGTACTTGAGTGACAAAGCCAAGAGGGGTTGGGGGGACCCTAAACAAAGTTGATGTGTCCTTCAAATTGACTTTCAAACTATAATCTCCCCATTTTTAATTGTAAAATTATTCAGCTTTTCCAACTTTCTCAGAAAACCACTCTGGATTAATTGAGATTGAAGGGAGATATTCTGCACATTAATTCTTTATTCAAAGCACAACTATTCAAGATAAAGGTGGCATTCAGCAGGTTCTGACCAGTTCTGGAGAACCAGTAGCGGGAATTTTGAGTAGTCTGGAGAACCGGCAAATACCGCCTCTGACTGGAGATTTTACAGTATCCTTCCCCTGCCACGCCCACCACGCCACACCCACAGAACCGGTAGTAAAAAAAATTTTTTGGGAATCCCACCGTTATACTTGCTAGAAAATGGCTAGGAAGGTTACAAATGGTGATCACGTGACCCAAGAAGAGTGCAATTGTCACCCATGCAGGCCAGTTGTTAAGTGCCCAAATTTTGATCATGTGGCTGTGAATACTGATTTGTATCCTCTTGCACTACATTAACGATCACCATAAAAACAGCGCAGTGAGGTTCATCCCCCTGCATTGTTTATGAAATGGGCATTTTCTTTATGAAATGGGTGATATGAAAACTGTTTCCTTCCTCATTAACAACTGGCTGGGATCTATTTAGAAATTCACAAGCAAAAGGATCTATAACACAGCCCAGCCAGGAGTCTGTCAATAAAAAGGATGGTAATGCTGTTATAGAGTACATGTTTCTATATAGTGCGGATACTCACTTGAATTGTTTTTTGCCTGTTATTATTTTCCCCTTGCTTTTTAGAAGTCATATAAAATAGTACATGCGACTGGAATTGCAATAGTTTTAGTTGTTGTTTACTTTTTAAAGGAATTCATGGAAGAGTATTATTCTACTCTCCATTCTTTTGGGAGGCAGAATTATCTTTCTCGGAGTTAACTGCTAGTGTCACGGATTTACCTATTTGCTAATTTCTTACTTACTACTAGATTTGCACGGAGCCTTCTGTGGTTCCAGAATAAAAGTTTTCTCCGCTACCCATCTATTTGATGCAGCCACCATTTTTCTTTCTCTCTCGCTCCCTCTCCCTGTCCATCTTCCACATGAAGCGCACAGCTGGGACTAGTCTTAAACAGTCTCTAAACTAAGTTGATCTGCCAGCATTGAGCAATCCTTGTTCGTGTTAAGTGATGGGGAAGGGATGGGGAAGGCTCAGGGAGCCTTCAGAGAGAAAAGTGGTCGGAAGGCAGGGATGCAAATGAAGAAGGCTAAGGCGGGCTCTGCTGCAGCAGTGGACCAGTGGGAAACAGGAGCCTCTCGGCTGTGGGAGAAATTAAACGCTTGCAGAGTGCATAAAAGATGAGAACCCGATTGCTGCTTTTAAAATTTTTTTACAGCATATCTAGATTGACAGTTCATTTATTGGAGAGCGGAAAGAAACATACACACAAACACATACGCATAAAGGAACCATTGTTATTTGACTAGCGTGTGATCACTGGCTATCCTTTTAGATCGGGACGTTGTGCAATCATGTGCAATGTGAAAAATGCCAAGGATATGAATTGCTTTCGGTCTTAATAGGTGATGGATGCAGGGTAAGCAGGGCAGAGAGCCGCCTTCAAGGCATCTCCTGTCAGCTTGTCTTCTTAAATATTTTCCCAAGTTGCCTTTAACTCTAAGCCAAGAACCAAACTGAAAACATACCCCCAAATGCTTCTTCGAATCCATTTGGCTGCTCAGAATTGGCGGTGAACTGAAGAGGTTTCCCAGCTGAGTAGTAATGTTGCAAAGGAAACTCTGCAAAGCAACACCCGGCAAACACCATTAGGGGACAAGGATGAGGGGGAGAACCATCATGATAGAATATGAAATCAAAGAAGAGCCTTTAATTCACTGCAGTTTTATATATAAATATATATTTTTATATATATATATATATATATACACCCTACACTGGGATAGAAAACTAACATTTCGAAAGCCCTATTAATCAATAAATACATTTCGAGAATAAAATTCCAGAAGAATAATTTCCACAAATGCTATAATCTGCCCTTGTCTATCTTAGTGAACAAATAAACCACCATTAGGTATACTTAAGGCTCTCAGCAGTTTGGATTCAAGCTCCAAATAAGCTTGAGAGAACATGGGAGCATGACTATAGGATGACGCCTTAAAACAACATTATCTTTTCCCAATATCACATTCTTGAGTCCAATCCTGCAGAGATCTAATATATTTTATCCCTGCGCAACATAAACGTAGGCACCATATACTGTATGCCATTTAATTCTGTAACCTGAAAAATCCTACTGTGTTTACTTAAAAAAAAACCCATTATCTTCTGATCCTTAAGATTACCAGGGAAAACACAGGCAAACTCTTAAGTAATTACTAGGTTGAGGCAGTTCAATGAGATAACTACATGCAACTTTTCACAATTTGATTAACCAAGGCAAATCATGTCATTAAATTGTTTTGTAATGTTAGGTGTTGCTGCTGTTTCTTTCCAAAGCCATTAGACAGCTGCTCAGGAGGCAATGATTTGCCAATTTAGAAAGCAAACTTAAGCCTGGAGATCCATGGTGGAGATGTGGTGGCTTACTAGGTGAAACAGATGCTTCTTTTCTCCTGTGCCTCTTCACATGAATTATAGTGAGAAGGAATTCAAGCCATCTCCAATGAGAACGCCTTATAGACCCAGCTAATGAGTGTGATCCAGCTAATGAGGCCAAAGGGAATGAAAGGAATATAGTAACCTGCAAACCTAAGTCCATAGGCGACCTCACACCTCATGCTGCATTTTTGTGCCTCCCTCCACAAGCAGGAACTCCATAGGTGGAACAGGGATGTTCTCACATAACTGAGAGCCTCCGGGGTACACAGACAACCTCCTCTTTGTCAGTGGAGCAGCACTTACACAATATCTTCCCCCAAAGGAAAATTTAGGATTATTCTACACACATCACAAAATTTCATCCTGACTTCAAGGTCTAAGCGTTTAGGACTCACCTGTTTATCTGAACAGTTGTTCCATGAAGGTAAGGGAACGTTGAATTCTGAGGACAGAACAAACAATTTATAGAAAAATATAATTTTTCATTTCTAAAAATCTCTTCATTTTACTTTTCCTAAGCATGTTAAGTTATACTCTGTTTTGACCAGATCACACTTTAGCTCTATCTATTCTGGAAATGAACAGGACCAAGTCTCAGGGTGCAGTGATCTTGCTTTGGCCTAATTCAACTAAAGAGAAACTATGCATGGCACTTTCCCCATATTAAATGCTTTTTATTATGTTGGTCCTCTTAACAGTGTCACAAGGCTATCCACACACACACACACAAAAGAGGCTGAACAGTCACCATGCCAATCAAGGGTAGAAGCTGTCCACCAACATTTAATCCAATGAACTAGAAGGGCACAGAAACCCCATGACAGAAGCGAAAAAGGAATAAGAAAATGGTTGTTCTGTGTACAAAGGCCCAAAGGTTGGAAGGGATGGAAAAGGCACCATTCTTTAGCTTTCTAGAGTGGTACATCTGCACATTTGTGCATGCTTTATTTCCTGAATGTGACCCAACCTTTGGCTCTTGGTCCAAAAATGTAAAAGCCTGAATACTAGGAGCAGCATAAAATATTTTTAAACATGAGATTGGGAACTGTGCAATTTGGGAAGATTTTTCTCTGATGATGACTTGCTGAGTCGCTTAAGTCTGATAATCCATATCTAACCAGGACTACACTGGGATATATTTTAAGATAGTCTAGCTGCGTGAAGCCTGCTTGTCCAAATCATATTGGCCCCATAGATTTTCCCATCTGAACTGCTGGGCTCTGGCAAGCAATGCTCCTAACCCCAGAACGGCCTTAATGAGCCAGAACTGAAGAGCAGAGGGGGGCTAATTGTTGCCAATCACTTAGGCTGGAAGATAAAGCTGTCAAACCAGAGTTCCAGGGGAGTGGAAACTTGTCACCCCTGCAGAGATGAGCCATCAGTGGAAGCTGTAAGAAAATAATGCGCCCAGGTAGCCTATTTAGATGTGGCCTGAACAGAAAACGATCACTCTTAACAGGTCTAGAATCAAATTGTTTTTATATGCAGGGAGCCAGTAAAACAAGCTGAGCAAGGAAAGGATTTTCCTTTATTGAGACAATCAAGGTATCTTGTTAAAATAATATTTCCCTTGCATGAGTTTAATTTTATTATAATAAATGCAAACCAAATTGTAATGCTATTTTAAAGCAAACACAATAAGTATTCAATTTTTGAAATTTAAGACCATCATGATCTTGAAATATAAGTTAACATGAAAATCACTTCTCATGCTGTCTGTAAAAAAAAAAAGCAATGAAAGAACAAAGCTGACCATTGCAAAACAGAAGAAAAGAGACTTAACGAAATAGGTGGCCAACTACTTTATTAGATAAGGTGGGGTGAAAAACTAAGCCAAAGAAGATTTGAACTTGGCCTTTATAAAAAAGCTTCTTTTTTTGCTTTTGATAATAGCTTCCAAGTTTCTTCAATAAATCTTATTTATTCTCAGTTCTTGGACCTTCTTATGTAAGGGAACTTACCTAAGTGGTTCCAGCCCTGCCTCTAGCTTGTTGCCTGACAACAAGCTCCTGTGTGGTCTGAGTCATTGTGGGGTTGATCTCTCTAAAAAGGCTGCTTCTGCCCTTAATTTCTTAGCTCCATTTCTCTTTTCGAATTTACCTTTGCATTTTATCTTTGTTTTATTCTCCTGAACAGTATTGGAATATTGGAAAAATCCTGGCCGGCACAAACATAAATAACTTCCTTCAGTGTTTCTGCAGAAAGCAGTTTCATCACAAACACTTCCATTACACTCATTAATATCTGTTAAAAACAAAAGAGAGATGAATATAAAACTAATGTGAAACAACATAATGCAAAAAGGACAAAGAGAAGGGAAAAAACTCCAAACAAACAAAAAAAGGAGCTCAGATTTGTTACGAGTATTCCACCTGTGACTTATTCTGTATTCTGTGACATTCTAATCATGCTTCTGTCAACCAACACAACATGTTCACATGGATTAGGAAATTTTTTGCAATAGGAAATTGCTCAATGATCATACAACAATGTCCGTCCTATGTTCCAAATATTTTCCTGCGTATAGAAGTGAAACTGTTAAGCCTCAGTATGTGCAAATATTGATGAACAGATTAGAATCACAGGACACTTAGTTTTGACAATTTTGTAGAGGTATTTTAAAATGTGCCAGGAAAGATTTACAGGTAGTCCTCAACATACAATTCATTTAGTGACCGTTCAAAGTTACAACAGCACTGTAAAAAGTGACTCATGACCATTTTTCACACTTACAATCATTACCACATTGTCACGTGATCAAAATTCAGATGCTCGGTAACTGGTTCATATTTATGATGGGTACAGTGACCCAGGATCCCCTGCGATTCCCCCTTTGCGACCTTCTGACAAGCATAGTCAAAGAGAAAATCAGATTCACTTAACAACCAGGTTATTAACTTAACACCTTCAGTGGTTCACTTGACAATTGTGGCAAGAAAGGTTGTAAAAACTCACGTAACAAATGTTTTGCTTAACCACAAAAAAAATGGGCTCCATTGTAATCATAAGTCAAGGACTAACCGTACTTACATATCCAGAACCTATTCATTGAGCAATGAGAGGCTTTGCAGATGATTTGCTTTTGATTTCACAAGATCCCCTGAAAGGGACTGAGTTCTTGATGAAAAAAAATTGAAATATTTTAGTAGAGTAGCAGATTTTAGGATTGGTAAATGAATAGGTTGGTAAAAAGTATGACTAGACAAAATCAAGATAAAAAAACTGATTTTAAAATTGAAGAAAAGGTTAGGGTGATCTTGAGTAATATGAATTGTATGTTGTTTCAAAATAACTGATGAAGTTAGAAAAGATATATTGACATGGGAAAACTGCAAGTGTCATTTTTGGGAAGAGTTTGAATGATTAAAGTGAATGTTTTACCAAGAATGTTATTTCTATCCCAGAAAATACCCATCCTAATGATTTATATACCATTTAAGTTATGGCAAGAAGATAATTCTAAATTTCTTTGGCAGAGCAAAACAAAAGAATATCAAACACAAATTTATGTAGAATGCTGAAGAAAGGGTAGCGGGTTAGAATCCCCAAATTTGAAATTAAATTTTGCATTTTCTTGTTCACTTTAGATAAAAGACCAAGTAACTTTAAGAAATAGGAGGTTCCTGGAATTGGAAAGATAGGATTTAAGATTTGGATGCCAAGGTGTGCCAAAGTTAAGGTGAATGTAGAGTTCAAAAATCATTTGACATGCCACATTGAGGATTTGGTCCAGGTATATAGCAAAATTGTCTCCTAAAATCACTTTATGGTTGTCACCCTAAGTAGCCATTTCTAGACGGGTAATGATAGTTAAACCAAAATTGTTAACTTATGCTGACCTACTGAATTTTTCCAAAGGAGAGTTTAATTTAAAAACAACAAAAATTGTAGCTGGAAGGATTTAGATGCCATTTTTTTAAATCTTTGGTGGGCAGTAACAAAGCTAGAAAATATTGGGGATCAGGTATTTATTTTGATGCATAGGATTTTAAAAATGAATGTACAACTGAAACCAGAGGCATTTCTTAGGGGTTTAATGGACAAAAAATAGAAACATCTTACAAACTTTGTTCTTTTACGTGCTATCTGGCAGTGAAATTTTTATACATGCTTAAAAAGGGGAAGGATTTATAAATACCTATAATGGAAGAATGGATGGTGAAGCTGATAGAATTGGTGGAGATAGTAAAATTGATAGTCTTGCTGAAAGAAAATACTTTGACAAATTTTATTTCCACTTGGAAACCACTTTGGGACTTTTTATAAGAAACTGAAAGAAATTAAAAGTTAATTTTGGTATCTGATGATTAGAATTGCATGGGACTATGGAAATAAGGTGTATTTGTTTACTTATATCTATACCCCAAAAAATTAGAAGTCATTGTCTATTTTTCCTTTAATTTCCTTTCTTGCATCTTCAGTTTTTTCTTCTCTGAACTTTTGCTTTCTTCAAATCTTTTTTTATGTTTATCTTTTAATTTGTACTTTTTTGAGAATACACACACACACACACACACGTAACATATTCAATAATCACTGGTAAAGATAATGAGAATTATAAGACAACAAAAATGAGATAATTTTCACAAAGCATGGCCTTCATTGGCCAAGGGTTGCTAAGGGTCATCTGCTACTATTAGTGTTGAAAGTCAAAGTGACTAAAATGTTACTTTGCTCCACTGTCTCAAGGAATACCTCAACTTGACGTCTCATCTATACGATTACCAAATAATTTTCAAATAATATGATTTTTCTCAGCCTCTTCTCTCATGTAATTGACAAGCCCCACAAATATAGTCATTTCTTCCTCAATGGAATGACAGAATGTGGTTTCCAACCAGACTGTGACCAGATGGCAACCAGGACTAAACTAAGATATTTTGCTGCCCAAGCTAAAACAATGACATCTTCTCACCACACTGGATTCTGGATATTTCAAACTAACTTCATCAGCAATTGCATCTTATTTCAGCATTGCAGAGGGAGCAGTTGTCCTCCACTGATTCTGGGGAAATTGGCTGGCAAGTCACTATGCCTGGAATCATAAACAATGCTCCTAATTCCTCAACACTATTGAGAAACTATTCCCTTCATCCTTAGGTACAGCTGCTTGGATCACAGGAGCACAGTGCATGGACAATGTATATCAGAAAGTGTGTCATGGATTAGGGGTCTCCAATCTTGGCAACTTTAATGCTGGTGGACTTCAACTCCCAGAATTCCTCAGCCAGCTGAAGTCTGCCAGGCTTAAAGTTGCCAAGGTTGGAGACCCGTCATGGATAATTGTCATATATTTGTTTGCACCGTGAAAGACCTTTCCCAAACTCTTTTTTACCCATTAGAAAAAAATTGAGCAAGATGACTTTTGACAATTTTCAGCTATTTAATGTAACTTTTACTGACTAAACAACAGGAATTAACTTTTTTCCATGTTAACCCTATGAATGGAAATAAATGACGCTATCAGAAAACTAAAAGAGACAGCAGAAATAAGTTTCCCTGATTTGATCTCCAGACTTGTGACCATGTAACTTCTCCAATTTGAATCCCAGCCACTCTGTGGCATTCTAGGAGTTCTAGACACAGCACATCTGGAGGATGCCAGCTGGCAAAAATTATATAAGAAAACCAGACCCTGCCAAGATCTTACCAGAAAGGGAGACACTGGTGACTTCAACTAGCATGAGCACGTTCTGAAGTAAATAACACATAAAAACCCCAAACATATATGACTGAAAGGAACTGACTCTCCATGGTAATTCATGCCCCAAACATACCAGTTTCTAAAAATGTTTCAAATAATTGCCCACAATCATGGTTATTTCAAAGGTAAATACTTTTCTCAAACAGTCTGTTTTATCTGGAAACTTCATGTGCGGGGTCCTTGGTGCTCTCTGAGCTTGGTTATTTTCTTGCAGATGCTTCATCACCCAAGCTAGGTAACATCATCAGTGCACTGCATCATCAGCGAACACTGATGATGTTACCTAGTTTGGGTAATGAAACATCAGCAAGAAAACAAGCAAGCTCAGAGAACATCAAGGACCCCTCATATCAACCCTTAGCTACATATATTCTCCTCTATTGGTAACATTCTTGTGAATTTTGACCATCTCTGATTCTATCATCATTTCAAAATCAGTCAGCAAAAGTAGTTAACTACAGTAGTGATTCGCCACCCTTCAATGTATTATTTTGGTTGCATAACATATAAATTGTGTTCTTCTCATTCGGCTGTACCTCTGCATAGCTTTCTATCATCTTTAAAGCTCTTTCCATATCCTTGCTTGCATTTACAGTGATAATCTCCTTCAGTGTTAATGCAGCTCCCGTTGGGACCACAGATGGAAACATTTCTCTTGCACTCATCAATGTCTGCAAGAAGAAAGTAGGGCTAAATAAAACATGGCAGAATGCCACAACCGATTATGCCGGCATCTTCCAAACCAGGTATTCTGCAGAGGAGAATGGACTTCAGCTCTTGGAATTCCCCATCCAGCATGGCCACTGAGAATTATAGGAGCTGAGTCCACATAAAGTGGAGAAGGCCCAGGTTGGGAAAGCCGTGTTGTAGCAAAGAAAAAACGGTTTATAACTGCAAAAGGCCAAGCCATTTCCCATGCAAACTCTGCAAAGCAACATGCTGTAATATATGTGCTTGAGACAAAAACTCTGAAGTGGTGAACTGCATGGGCATTGTGGCTGGGGCACCATATTGTGAGCAGAGAAAACAGTCTCCTACTTTATCCATTTGATTTAGATCATACCGTTCTATCCATGGGACAATCTGAAGTTTTTGGTTTTTTTAAAAAAGCAGCTTCAATTGGTATTACTACAACCCAAGGGGCCTAGTTGAAGAAGACAGTCTTTAACTCTTGAAAACTACTCTTAAGCGAGTACATTCCCCAGCTTGGGAGTAGAGTGGGAGAAAGCCAGAATTCTCTTCTCCTTGATTAAACAACGGGCTCTGAAAAGTGGATTTCTCTTTAAGGAGGCTTAAAAAGTGTCCATGTATTCTAGACAAATACAGATTTGTCTAGAATACAGGAACCCTAACCCCAAAGTCTGGTTTTCCATCAAACGATAATACTTCTGTCTTGTCTGAGCTTATTTTGAGCTTGTTCATTTTTATTCAGTTTCTCCTTACGCTCAGGCACTGGTCAAAGGAACTGACCACATTTTTTTTGCAATTAGACGACAAAAAGGACCTGATCTGAGGGCTGTCAAATAAATTTATTTTGAATGTCACTATTTTAAGTAACTGAGAAATCTCCTGCTTAAAAGAGTGAAATAGAGATTGCCCAGAGAAACAAGCAACTTCAATTTTCCAAGTAAACAGAAGCTCATTTCCAGTCATGGCAGCAACAGATAAGAAGGAAATGAAGAATAGGCAAAGCTGAAACCATTCCCTCATCATCAGGCATGGTATATAAAATGAAAGTGAAAACATGGAGATGATGCCAATGAGCCTGTGACTATAATTCCCTTTCCGTACAACTACTACTTTTTATGCCATTCACTGCAAACCCAAACAAAATGGATAAGTACAAATGCTAAGTATTGCAATGACATTCTGGTCATTTTGCCATGAATAATTAGTGAGATTCTTAGTAAATCCTCAGTCCCAATTATTTAATTAGATTCAAAGATGCCATGGATACTAAGACAGCAGAAAAGGGAAAGGAGAACAAGTCCCTTTGGAGAAATTGCATTCTTGTTTTCATTTTGCAGGAATAAAGTTCTAAGAGAGTGAAACAGATAATACTCCTGCCTGTGATAGCGAGATACACATTCTTTTCATAAAAAGATCCTGAATTTAAAACCATGCCGCCACCAAAGATGAGGGAAGAAAAAAATATGTAAGCCTAATTTAGAGTATTCTCAACAAACTTAAAACTATTCCCTCCCCCAAATGGAAAGGCAAAGGAACAAGCAAATATTCATTTTAAGTTTAAAATACACATGTTTAGCTGCGGTTAAAAAAACCAACATATTCAGCTGCTGGGAGTCAATCATAAAAAATAATATTCTGATGTTTTCTCCACATGTGCAGTTTAGTAGTGTTAAAATAAAAAAAGTAGCATAGATGATTGCCTACTAGCTCAATATTGGCACTGTGTTTACTCCAATTACATTTAACGTATTAAAGATTCCTTTCTTCATATACTCCTAGAAAGGCCCATTTCCATGGATCACTTGGCTTTGTTTGGTCGATTCTGAAAAGTAACTCTTGTAGGTCAAGACATCCACACTTCTACATGTAGGAAGTCAGTGGGAAACATTAGGAAAAGATAGCAGAGTTTGGAGAGTACCTCCAAAATAAGAGCACCTACACCGTAGGCCCGAAGGGGTGATAAAACTCATGAAAATCATTTGGCTGTTTTATAAATTGCCATCAAATTATAATTTTTAACAAAACTAAAACAGGAAATGAGTAAGTACCCCTGTTTCCCTCAAAATAAGACCGGGTCTTATATATATATTTTAATTACAAAAAACCCCCTAGGGCTTATTTTCAGGTAATTCTTTATATTTTTCCACACAGGAGGCTACACAGCACGTCCAGTGGGCAAGTGCTGTTGCCATAAGGTGAAGCAAGGTGGGGCAGGATGGCCCCCATGTTTTCACTACCTCCTGTGTGAAAAAGTAAGAGAAAAGGAAAGAGAAAGCAGGAGGAGTATGAGAAAAGGTCTGTCTGGGAAAAAGAAACGGAAAGGCAGAAGGAGACGGGCAAAAAGTCACACGCTTCTGCCCACTGGGTCATTTGACCTTTCCAGAGAGACGTCAAAGTTTCGATTATGGTTCTGGGGTGAAGTGCAGAGTGAGGCACACAGGCAGCCACCTGGCCTTCCCTGCCAGGAAGGAGATAGCTGCCTCCTGCGGGGCCCTTTCCATTCTTCCTGCAGTCGCAGACCCCACTCAGGCCCCGCAAGGCCAACCATCTCTGCATGAGCCCCATCCAAATGGGTGGCCAAGGATACGGTTGGGGTGGCAGTGCATGCAGAGCCCTGATGCTTGCAATAGTGGCATCCAGCAGGGCACCTCTTGCCGCTGCTCCAGTTTCAACGTCAGTTGCCATGGCAGTGGCTGGTACTCTTCCTGCCACTGCCACGCCACTGCTACCACACCCCATCAATCTTGGAGGTGGGCATGGTCAGCATAGGTGGAGGTGAACACGCGTGGGCTTAATTTAATGCTCTTAATTTAAAAATGGAAAACCTGGTTGCTAATACTACTTTTCCTTGTTCTCTTCTTTCTTAGCCTTGCTTTTTTCCTTCTCCTTTTCCTTGTCATCTTTCCTCTCCTTCTTACTCTCCTCCTTCTCCTGCCCTTCCTCTTTGGCATCTCTGCTGGCAAGCTTGTTGTGCAGTGCTACCACTGAATAGATCAGGCGAGGCAGGAGGCAGGGTGGGGGTGGTGCCACACGGCAGCCCCTGCCCACTCCGCCCCCAACAACATCCTCCAGCACTCCTTAGCTTTTCCCGTTCACACTTGTTCTCTTTACTGCTGCAGTGGGAAAGAGCTAAAAAACCCACTTGAGGCTCCAAGGCTCTGTCCGTTGCTGCCTCAAAATGCCAACTCGAAGAGAGCAAATTGATTTTTCTGCAAACGGTTTCAGGAAGGTGCACTGAATTCACTCAAGGTGATGAATTGCTGCAGCATTAACACTGAACAGTTCAGACAAGGCACAGGACGGGGCGGGGGTGACATGCTAGCACCCCTGTGTGCTTGGTCCCTGCCATCCAATATCATCCTCCAGCGCTGATGGTGGGGGCCGAACATCTAGGAGCCACGGTGTGGTGCCACACCTGCCCCGCTTATCTCGCCTGATCTGTTTGGTGGTAGCACTACAATTCACTGCCCTGAGTGGATTCAGCGCACCCTTCTGAAACTGTCTGCAGAAAAATCAATCCACTCTCTTCGAGTTGGCGTTTTGGTGCAGCAATGGATAGAGCCTTGGAGCCTCAAGTGGGTTTCTTGTCTCTTTCCCGCTGCAGGAGTAAAGCGAATAAGCATTGATGGGCAAAGCTACAGGAGTATTGGAGGATGATATTGGACTGCAGAGGCAGAGCGCGCAGAGGCCTGGCGTGGCGCCATCCCCACCCCGCCCCCTGCCTTGCCTGATCCATTCAATGGCAGCACCTGCCCAACAAGACTGCCAACAGAGATGCCGAGAAAGAGGGAGAGGAGGAGGAGGAGAGTAAGAAGGTGAGAAAAGATGACAAGGAAAAGGAGAAGAAAAAAAGTGAGGCCAAGAAAGAAGAAAGAGAAGGAGTAGTATTAGTAACCAGGTTTTCTATTTGTAAATTAAAAGCATTAAAATAAGCCCCCATGCTGGCCATGCCCATGCCCACATTAGGTACTGACGATCTTAATTGGGGTTTATTTTGGGGATAGGGCTGATATTAGGCACAGGTTAAAAATTATGCTAGGGCTTTTTTTATGGTTGGATCTTATTTTGGGGGAAATATGTTAAATGCAAAGTACAGTGCTAATTTGTAAGGTATTGTGTTAATTTATACCACTTACTTTAATTAGTTGATGATCAATTAGATTTAGATTTTGTCTTAGTTTGCATACTTTTTGAAGTACAATCCACAGCAGATTAAAAGCTTAGTGGCCAATTAGTTGGGCCCATTACCAGATCACAAGCAGTCACTGATGGTCAGAAAGAGACACTGACAAGCTTGGTAACATGGCTACAAATACATGCTAATCCCAAATGTTTAAAACCATGCAAAAAATTGTTGAAAAAAATACAGATGGCAAAACAGCAAGTGAACTTCATTCTCTTTAGCTATAGATGCAAGAAACTTTCAGTGCTGGGTGGAAAGACACAAGTTTATTGAGAGTTTGCCATAACATTTCCAGTTCCAGAACAGGGTAACATTACAGACTTCTGCCTCTGCATTGCTTTCTATTTATGTGCTATCAGTGCATTGCCTGGAGTAAGCACATGTGCCATGCATAAACAAGATCTCCAGAAAGCACTTACCTGTACAATTATCTTCATTTGCACTTTCGAACTCACTTCCCCCATTAGGTAAGTGAAATCCTTGTTTGCATCTGCAGAAGAAGCCATCACAGTCTCTCACACATCTACCATATTTTCCACAGTGGTTCTGTTGACAGACAGCATGAACTAGAAGAAGACCATTCGGGAAAAGAAATAATTTGTCATCAGAAATAAATTTTTTCACTAGGTTTAAAAAAATCAAGACCTATCTCAAGAGGCAGGAAAGGAAGGGAAATCTAATCAATTTGTAGAATCAGACTGAGAAAAAGTTTGAAATTTGAAACTTATCCCTTTTTTGTTTTTATATTATGTATTGCCAAATTGGAAATTAAAGATTTGCCATATGAAGGTTGTTCTTGCATTATGAGCTGTTTGCTTGTTGCCCAATCATTACACTGGATAATATTTTTTTTCAAAGGGTTTGCTTCCTGAAAAACTTTTGGTGATTATAATAGATATGGATCCCTTCAAATTGGACACAAATATAATTTCAGAATGATGCTATCACATAGTAATTTTGAGAAATATGAAATTGTCTTTTAATGACTATAATGTATTTAATCGTATAATGCTTCTGACATGCTGCACAAGCTTAAATTCACTTGGACTCAGTGTCTGATGCATCTCACTACTGTTTCCAACAATAGTCAGGCAGAACTGATGAATTCCAATTGCCCTAAATACTGTTTTTCCATTGTAATAATGTCCTGATTCACCCTGATCATCACCTAGATTTTTGGGAAAGAAGTCCAAGAGTAAGTGACAAAAATGAATCTTCATGGTCTTGTATGCTGTAAGAAATTTGGCAACCAGCCAGATTTAATTTAGTGGCCCGCACCGTGTTTCTCAGAAAATAAGACCGAGTCTTTTCTTTTAGACTTGAGTTTGGGAAAGTGGCCCAACAAGCAGAAGCGCTTGTGCGCCCAGAAAGAGAAGGCCAAAAATAGTATTTGCACTGCCCCAAGGAGCCAGCAGGCTGCAGCTGCAACCGGAAAGTTGCCCCCGTCATGCCACCATTCGTGCTGGCCATGCCCATCCCCCAGGCTTATTTTTGGGGTAGGGGTAATATTAGGCACCCCCCCAAAAAAAAATTAGGGTTGAGCTTATTATTGGGGTGGATGTTTTCACAGAAAATGGTAGTTGCCAAGAAAATTCTCAACAACATCCTTGAATGCCTTTCAGCCAATTTTCTGTGGCCCCACTAACAGATCTTTAAATCATCTGTCATTGATGATGTGCCTGAACTGTGGACCAAAAAGAATGCTCTCCTTAATCTTGGCATCAGTTATTCTTGGAAATATATGTCTCAAATAACAAAAACTTTCACCAACAAGTGGTTCATTTCACACATTTTTCTGTCCTAGAACCAAATTCTTTCAGAGTGGCCATTTCTTTCTAATGTAATGCAACTGTCGTACACATCCGACATGCATATGTAAAAATAACACAGGTAGTCCTTGATTTACAAATGTAATGGAGCCTGCCAATTACATTTGTAACCCGAGGATTTGTTGGACTGAATCGCGTAAAATGAATGTGAAAACTCCCTGTTTTGGCCCATGCATTTGCTACTGAAATTTGCAGGTCATTAAGTGCACATGAGGTATCTCAGGGTGGGGAAGGGAATGGGAGGGGGGCTAGTGATGGAACAGTCCATCTAATTAAGACCACCCAACGCACTGAGATACCTCATACTCCCCACAATTGCTTCCCCCCCATCCTGCCGTGATGGGTCAATTATCTTGTGAAGACCTAGTGATTACTGAGGGCGCTACACTTTGTTTGTGTTCTGTCCACTTTGTGGAAGATAAAGGAGGTTTGTGCACCGTCACTTCCCCGAATTGCAAAGTTTCACTACCAGGCACTGCCCAGCCACTTTCCTCACATTCAGGCCACCTGGTCCAGGACCAGTTTGGGTAAATGGTTCACTAAGGCATATATCTTTGCGAGCTCTTGAAGTCTTTGGACGGACCACCTGCTGCGTATCACCTGGGATGGGTTTCTCCTCTTCCACCTCCACTCGCTCCAAGCCATCTTCCAATATCTCCACAGCTTCACCTGCCCCAACCTCTCCTTTCAAACAGCTTGGATCCATTCCTTCTGCCATCCTTCACCACCTCCCTCAATACATACACAGATCAATGAGCACTGGCTTTCTCTCAGCTGCCTCTGAACTCCTGAGCAGTTACTCACAAAGCAAACAGTACTCACACTTTGATGCAGTCATGTTTCTGCTTTATTTTGAGAACTCAGAATTAACAGCAGCAAGAATGGACAATCCGTGAAAAGCCAGCACTGAGAGCTAGCTTCTCTCAGAGCTTTAAAAACCTCTTCTGTAATCCATCATTAGGTTATCAAGCATCCACCCAGAGTGCACCCTCCTAATATCCTCCCGCTATTCTGCCCCTCTTATCACTCCCCCCACATCGCTTTCCTTTTCACACCCCCATTTCTATAGCCCTGTACTACCCAAAATCTCCTATTCCACGGCTATCTCCCTCCTATGCTATCCTGTCACCTCTGTACTCCCCCATGCATTCCAACCTATGCATTCCTTGCAGCCGCCTTCATTAATCCAGCCTGGCTGTGTATGTATGTGCATTTCACATCAGCGGCGATGGATTTCATGCCAGATCAACGAGCACTGGATCGCCAGGTAATCGGTGCTTAGTCCCGGTCTCCTGGGTGGCTGCAGCCTGCTGTTGGCAACCCCTCGTGCCCCATCGATGTGTCAGGCTCCAAACAGGTCAGAAAGCACCCAGAGCCCGACAGTCTCCTTTCCAGCCTGCTACACAGGATCATGGCCTCCAGAAGCTTACAGTCTCAGTGTGCAAAACATTTGCACGTTGACAGGAGGGTTTGGGGCAGCAAAAATTGCATCGCCTCAACACGTCCCATTGGCTTGCAAACACTTGGGCAAGGCTTTGCAAGAAGCCTTTGCCAGCAAGAACAGTGCCTGGGAGGGTCACAACGGCCTCTCCTGGGCTCTGTTCTTGCCAGCAAAGGCTTCTTGCAAAGACAATTGGAGCCTATAGAGACACAATCTCCCTGCAGGCTTTGACAAGGAAAGGGCAAACAGAGGGAAGGCCTGAAGCACCAAAGTCTTCCCTCTGTTTCAAAGCTTTTTGCCACAGATCTCATTCATAGAGGCCTAAAGTAGTGCGAGATCACATGAGATCAGTAGCATGAGATCTTGCACTAATGATCCTGCAGCACTTTAGGCCTCTGTTCTCTGCGAATGCACCGAAGGCTTGAAACAATGAACAGGGAAAGAAACCACAGCAGAGAGGAGACAGCTTACTAGATCTTTGCAACTTAAGCCTCCACAGGCACACACGGCAGATGGGTAGGGGGAACAGGCATGGTAAATGGTTGCAGTTCCCTGCGCTCATTCGTAAGGCTGAACAACTGATATGGTGCTGCAACATTCATAACCTTGAGACTGTGTCATAAGTACTTGGGGTAGGCTATGTTGCAACTTCAAACTCTGACTAAGTGAACTGTCATAACTCGAGGATTATCTGTACTTGGTATATCAGGGTTGCAAAAGCAGCAGAGCTACTACTTTTACATCCCCACAGCTATTCCAATTATAGTGTACTGGATGTGCTTCAGCAACAAATCCGTGTTTTCGTATGTTTCTTTCATGTGTGTAGCATGACGAACAGGTACCGAGGGGTGTACATTGCCATTGTATAAAAACAGATTATTTCTATAAAACAGTACATGGTATGTCAAATTACAGATTATTTTCATGATGAGCAGCCAAAATTCTATAAGTTGCACCCAAAAGTGTTCAGGAAGCAAAATCTTTATTGTACAGTGTTATTAAATTGTGAAATGTTTGGATTATGTAGAGTTTTTCTGACTAGGCAAAACTAACATTGGCCAGTCCCTATTTTAAGGTTGAGTGTTAAAGACCAAAGTTAAGGTACCATCTCCATATTCTAAAGCACTGTTTTTGCTTCCATCCTATCATATCAAAATCCTCAGCTGATGAGAGACAATAGGAAAAACAATGCCATTTCTAATTGCCCTGTGCATGGAATATCTTCAGCTCAGAGTCTCAAAAAACTACAAGCAAGGTGGATGGGGTGATATAAACAATCTGCAGATTGTAACCATGATGCTAGTTTGCCATTGCTCCCCTCCCCGCAACGTTAGCTACTCCCTTATGGAAAGTAAGATGTCCAATTACCACAACATTTGTTACTATCAGCTAGGCACTTCTGATATCCGTTCTTACATGTACCATTTTCTTTTGGTGAGTAGTTCTGGCAACCTTTTTAGAATATACAGAGGGAAGGAAAGGCATTAGTTAGAACACATCCATGCTCTAGGCCATGCTATATCATGAGTCTTCCAAACTAGAGTCTTTCTTTAGTAATAACTAATATTTCGGACAGATTCTCAAATTGTATTTCCATCCAATTGTAATTTTTAAAAGGGAATACAATTAATCAGTAGACACACAGGACATTACATCAGTATACACCAATTAATTTAGTTCTAATCCATTTCAATTAAATCAAATTTAGATTTTCTCCTAGCTTTATCTACCCTTTGGAGTGCAAACCTCAGCAAAGCAAAAGCCCAGGGGTCAAATTGTTTCCTAAATATGGATATATCTATTGCAAGACCTCAAGGAGTCACTTATGGTCAGAAATAAACATTAATAAACAGGCTTTCAGAGAGTTAATTGGTTTAATACATGTAGTAACTCAATTTGTTTCTGTGCTGTCAGCATATAAAGGAAGCATATTTGCCATGTTTAAAGAAAGGCAGGCAACTCACCTGTACATTTATCTACACTGGAATTCAGGAAAGTTTTCATTTGATTTGATTCTGTCCAAAATCCTCTTTCGCAAGAGCAGCTGTAATTCCCAGAGACATTCTTACAGAAAGCATTTTCTCCACAGATGTTTCGACATTTATTGTCAACTATAAGAAGAACAGAAGAACATGGGGGCGGGGGGGGGGGGAAGATTATTTTCAAAGGTTTTTTTTTTAAATGGCCAATCTGTAGAGAGGAAAAGAGAAAGTGGGGGGGGGGGAGTGTGCCTTGATGCTGAAATCATGTAGACTGCAGAGTCAACCGGAAGAAATTTGGATGAAAATTTTCCCATCAGTATGTAGTTGCTGATCAATTCAGGATGCATCCATGATGGCCTGTAGGATAGCTGTGATGGGGAAATATTGTTCCATTTTTCTTTTCATGCAGTGCTTTTCCAAATGTTGAAACAAGAAACTGATTACAGGTAGTCTTTGTTTGAAGTTACAATGGTACTGAAAAAGGTGACTTATGACCACTGCAGCCTGATTTTCCACATTTATGACCCCTGTAGCATCCCCATGGACACATGGTCAACATTCAGATGCTTGGCAACTGGCTCATGTTTGCCTGGCATGACAGTTGCAGTGTCCCTGGGTCATGTGATTATTTTTTGTGACCTTCTGACAAGCCAAGAATCTGGGAAACCAGATTCACTTAACAACCGGGTTACTAACGTAATGGCTGCAGAGATTCACTTAACAAATGTGGCAAGGTCGGTCATAAAATGGGGAAAGATTCACTTAACAACTGTCTCACTTCGCAATGGAAATTTTGGGTACAATTGGGGTCATAAGCCGAGCACTACCTGTATTGTATTTTAAGGTTTGTCATTTATTTTCAGTTGACAAATGGAATCTTAGAAATTAAAGCTAAGGTACCATTTCCTTATTCCAATAGATCAACATTTTGATTTTATTTTCATTTTTTGCTGCTGCTGCTGCTCTCCCTAACAATATTATTTTTCCGTACTCACCCAACCCAACCTCCCTGGTTACTTGAACAAATCTTATAGATAGTAAGATGTCCCGTGCCTGCAATGATTTCCTACCATTGCCCAGGCAAACCTGATGTCCTGACTCATAGTCATCAATGCCTACACCAGATTTGCTATAATAGTTGCAATTTGTTTAAAATATATAGAGATAAGAGCAACATTAGCTAGAAGAAGTCTATGCTATGGCTGTGCTGTAGTGCACATTCCCCAAACTGGATCCAATCCCCACCTCCACCCCAAACATCAAGGTAGATAGCATCCTCTTTATTCCATTCCAAGTACCTCTATATGATTATTTGGCATAAATAGGTTTCAAATATAGTTCAACCCATGAGAACATGCCGTTGCTTCTCATCTCAGTCTTGGACAGAAGTCATTATGACAGGAGCCACAATTCTGTATAAATTTTTTTCTGTTGTTTAGGATTTTCTGATAACCCCAATTTTCTTGAGTTATATAATGTGAAATAAATAGATTGTTTTGGCATTCAAATCTTCATGAATGCCTAAAATGCCTGTCAAATCCTGAAAATGTGTTTTTGGGCAACAGAAGTAGAATTTATAGTGTGTAAAAAAATCCCTTAGTCATTTGAAAGGACACGGTTCATAGTTCTAGAGTAAAGAGATCCAAGTTTATCGAAGCCTTCCCTTAAAAGCAAACTGGTTTCAAAAGTATTTTTCCAAATAGCCTAGCAAATATCTGCCCTCGCTATCAAAAATTTTGTTGCAATTTCTGCATTAACCATTAAGATTTAAATGCAACAGAGTAACTGTATTTAGCTCTTATTATTTTATATTGATTTATGCTGTCTTCCCATCTCTAAGTGATTTTAGGCATATTCCAAACATACGTCTTACTTGCACAAAGTATTGTTAATTTATAAGATGTAGGATGTACTTAGAATACAGCAGGGTTCTGAAATTAATTGCCTGTGTATAAACAGGATGATGTCTGGATTTCTTTAACTATGTGAACAGCAAACTAAATGTTGGCAAGACAAGGGAGAACCTCTTCAGCATTAAAACTTTTGAGCCAAGAAGTTGCAATTTTGAATGTATTGCAAAAGCAGAATAGCCAGATTTAGAGTCCCGTCTGTTTTTACTGATAGTCCTATAAAGCTTTTTTACAGTTTAACCAAGAAGTCTTGATAACCTCTAAATTTATTATTTGTGCTGCTGCTTCTGCCCAAGGCTTCATCTCTGGGCATGAGTTATCAACTTTACCTGACATCAGGGGTGTGATTCTAACAGTTCGTACCTATTCTCTAAAACCGGTTGTTAACATTCTAAGCAGTTCGGAGAACCTGCTGTTAGAAGAAATTACTGGCCTAATCCTGTAAGGAAGACAGGCAGGAAACATTCTGGTGTTGCTTACAGAAACTGCCTCTCCATTAACCCTTATTACATTCTTGGCAGACTAGACTTCCTGTCTAAGGAACTTCTCTGGAGTTTTTCCCCCCTCCTTTGCTGGTACTTTGCTTGCGTGGAGTGACCATTCAAAGTTACAATGGCACTGAAAAATGTGACTTATGACCTTTTTTCATACTTACGACTGTTGCAGCATCCCCACAGTCATGAGAGGCTAGGCGAGGAGATACGTGCCTTGATGAGAGTGATATTGAGTTGGCCACGCCCAGCTAATAACATGATCACCAAGCCATGTCCATCCAGTCACATGACCACCAAGCCATCTAAGCCAGTTGTTAAAAATTTTAATCCCACCCCTGCCTGACATGCATCTATATATCATTAGTCAGCTTCCACTCTGGTTCCCCATCTTCTCCTTTCCTGTCACTCTAAATGGAGATAATCAGTTCCATCCCAACTGCATGCTGAAGTCCATGTTCTTCTCTCTTAAAGAAGTGTCACGCTTAGGCTCATTGTGATACTAAAAAACACCAGATATCCATTTAAAATGTCTAAAACTAAAGCTAAATTCCAAGGGTGCATAATCACACAAACTCATTTGAAAAAAACCATGCTTTTATAAGACCTGATCCTTCTGTTTTTTTGCTTTCAGCATCTCTTGGTCTGATTTTTTTTTTTTGAATGTGACTGCACAATAGCTCTTGCTTTTGGAATTTCAGCATAGTTTACATTACTCAAGAGTAGGTCCACCAGTATTTGGATCTAAAGAATTAAGAGCCTCCTCTACCTTGATGTTACTTAGTAATCAATACTTGTGCGATCCAATTTTCGTACACCTACTCAAGAGAAAGCAAATTTGTTTCATGACAGTGGATTTGAATGAGCTTTCTAATGCTTCCAACAATTTCTTCATCCGAGAAGCTTACCTTGATTTTGGACCAGAACTGATTGGAAAAGAAAAATGAGGAGGCCTGAAAAGAAAAAAAGAGAATATAGAGTCAGGGAATATCATATTCCACAAACCGGCCATTCGCAATTTGGCCCCGTTCAGATATGTTAGACTACTTCATCCTTCATCTCCAATTTACAAAACTAAAGAACGGAGAGGTGTAAATACCCTTGGAGGGCACTAGATTGCACGCTAATCTTTCGCCCAAAGACGTGTCAATGGTCTTAATCCACGGTGCCCTGGCTCTTATATCCTGACTGAAGTTCTTCTCTTCCAGGGCTATTAAGTTCCACCTAAAAGCTCTCACATCACTTTGTTGGAAATTGACCAATTGCTTCAAGCAAGTTTATTGTTGCTGGGAAATATCAGCTCTTTGACTTGAATGCCAAATGGATGACAGATATGGGGATTTCACAGATATCAGAGCATTTCTCCACATTAGGAGATTATGAATAATGTGGGATCCAAAAAGCTACTCCTATGGGCCTTATGTATTGTAGCATCATTTTTCCCCCTAAAAGAATTCTCTCAATTTTATCTGGGGTGGGTGGGCAGGACTGCCTTAAATTAGGAAGGAACTCAAATATTCTGCTAGCTGAAGCCCAAGTACTTTTGAGGAAAGTAGAACAACACTTGGGGGCTGGTGTTTGTTAATTCCTCCTGCCACAATTTTTCAAGTAATGGAAAAATTACTACAGGCAGTCCTTGACTTACAACAGTTCATTTAGTGATTGTTCAAAGTTACACCACCACTGAAAAAAAATCATTTATGAGTGACCATTTTTCACACTTATGACCTTTCTAGCAGTCCCATAATCATGTGATCAAAATTCAGATGCTTGACAACTGGTTCATACTTATGACTGTGGCTGTGTCCCAAGGTTAGGTGATCATCTTTGGCAACCTTTCAACAAGCAAAATCCATGGGGAAGCCAGATTCACTTAGCAACCATGATACTAACTTAGCAACTAGTGATTAATTCTCACTTAATAAATGCATCCCTTAACAACAGAAATGTCGGGCTATAAAAAAATCAAAATATTGGGAAAGCACCAGGCCTGGATGCTTTGCCTGCGGAATTTTATAAGACATTTCAGGAAACATTGAATCTGCATTTATTAGAAGTTATGAATGAAGTTATGACAAGGAAGAGAATACCCCAAACATGGTCAGAGACATATATTACACTTATACTGAAGGAGGACACAGACCCACAGCAAGTTAAAAATTACAGACCTATATCCCTATTAAACTCAGATTATAAAATTTTTGCTTCAGTTGTGGCAGAAAGACTGAAAAGATTCTTAACAATTTTATTCATTCTGATCAAAATGGATTTCTGCCAAAGAGACAAATTAAAGACAATATGAGAATAATCTTAGACACACTGGAATACTATGAGGCATATCCGGAAAAACAAATGGCTTTGATGTTTTAGATGCACAAAAAGCCTTTGATAATGTGAATTGGTGTTTTATGTTGCTACAATTGGACCAAATGGGCTTTGGCAAAAAATTTACCCAAGCCATAGAAACGATATATTGTAAACAAACTGCAAAGGTTATGATAAATGGAGAGTTAACAGACTTTATAGATATAAGAAAAGGACTAAAGGCTGTCCACTGTTGCCTCTGTTGTTTGTGTTAACACTGGAAGTGCTAAATAGGAACTTTAGAGAAGAAAAAGAAATAAAAGGAATGAAGATTAAAAAAGAAGAGTATAAATTGCAAGCTTTTGCAGATGACCTGGTATTCATATTAGAGGATCCATTGGAAGTCAGCACCTAAACTGATAGAAAAGATAGAAGAGTACAGGAAAATAGCAGGTTTGAAAATAAATAAAGATAAAACAAAGATCTTAACAAAGAATATATTAGCAAGATGAAAGAAAGAATTGGAGGAAGTTTTGGGGATCCAGGTCACAAATAAGATTAAGTATTTAGGGATACATGTAATACCAAAATGTAGCACACTTAAGGAAGATAATTATCTTAAACTCAAACAACAGATTGCAACAGATTTGATAAAATGGGAAAATTTACAATTATCATTGATTGGGAGAATATCTACAATTAAGATGAATGCATTGCCTAGAATCTTATATTTATTCCAGAAATTCCAATTAGACTAGGAAAAGAATTTTTTGAAGATCTAAATAAAATAGTGTTAAAATATATATGGCAGGGGAAGAAAATGAGAATAAAACTTAAACTGTTACAAGATGCAAGAATAAGAGGAGGATTCACTTTGCCCAATTGGGAATTATATTATCAGGCGTTGAGTTTGATGTGGGTAAAGGAGTGGATATCGCTAAGGAATATTAGACTTTTGAATTTAGAAGGACATGACTTGCTATTAGGGTGGCATGCCTTCCTCTGGTATAAGGGAACTAAAACACAGGGGTATTTTAGAAGACACATTCGAGAAGTATTGTTTTTAAACTGGGAGAAGATAAAAAAGCAATATTATCTAAAGATTCCACTATGGTTATCTACTTTTTCTTGTCCAATAATATACTGTATAAAAAGGAACAAACAGTTCAATATGGTGAGTTATTGAATGAAAAGGGTGAACTTAAATCTATGCCAGTGTTGGAAGAACAAGGTGAAAAAATGAATTGGTTTTCATATTTGCAAATACAATCTAGATTTGATAAAGATATTAAAACAGAAGGAATCTATGATAAGTTGATCGATGTAGATAAAATTTTGACAAGTACTGATGAAAAAGTAATTTAAAAACTTTATGGACCTTTGCTGGAGTTTAAACTAGAGGAAGAACAAGTTAAAGAAACAATGATTGTGTGGGGGGAAAATTTTGGATATGGAATTGATCTAGATAAATGGCAAAAATTGTGGTCTCAAAATTATAAAATGACAATGTCAACTGCATATAAAGAAAATTTGTATAAGATGTTTTACAGGTGGCACTTATCCCCAACGAGAATTGTGAGAATGTTCAAGAATAAATCGGATAAATGTTGGAAATGTCATCAGATACCTGGCTCATATATGTGGTGGACATGCTCGGATGTAAAAAGATATTGGACTATAATCCACACATGGTTGTTAAAAATGATAAAACAACACATAGACTTTAAACCTGAGATATTCTTAATGGGAATTATACAAGAAATATACAGTAAAGAACTGAAATATTTGATGGAAAATGTTTTAACAGCGGCTAGAATTGTATTTGCTAAGAATTGAAAAATGAAAAAATACCCATGCAGGAGGAAATTATTAAGAAAATCATGGATTGTGTTGAAATGAGTAAATTGACATTTGAAATCAGAGAACAAGAAGATAAACATTTTTATATGATATGGGATTTATTTTATCAATGGTTAGATAAAAAGACATGGTAAAGAAATAGATTAGGAAGCCTTACAATAAAAAGTTAATAGATATAGAATACAATATAAAATATATAACCATTGGATGAATGTATAAGATTAAATTATAATAAAATTTAGAATGTCTCTTATAGAATGAAGGAAAAATAGTTTAGTGAAATGAATGATTAATGATTGATATTATATAAGCACATGTTAGATTGGTAAGGTGAGAATTTACACAATTTGTGAGTAATGGTTAAAAAAAAAGGATGGCACAAAAGATCGTAACCGACACACTGTATGTATATATTGAAAGATGGTTTTATGTTTCTATGTTTTGTTTATATGTTTGTGAAAAATAAAAACTTAAAAAAGGAAAAAGGAATGTTGGGCTCAACTGTGGTTGTAAGTCGAGCACTACCTATATAGTCTTTGTGGAAAGTTTAAGGCACAGGCTATGAAGAATTAATATGAAGAATGGTTGCAGGAATTGGGTATGTCTGGTCTAGTGAAAAGAAGGATTAGGGGTGACATGATAGCAGACTTCCAATATTTGAAGGGCTGCTATAAAGACGAGGGGATCAACCTGTTCTCCAAAGCACCAGAAGGCAAGTTCAGAAAGAATGGATAGAAATTAATGAAGGAGAGAAGCAATCTGGAAATAAGGAGAAATTTCCTGACGTTAAGAACAATCAACCAGTGGAACAGCCTTCAGAAGTTGTCAGTGCTTCATCACTGGAGATGGAGGAGACTGGGCAGTCATTCGTCTGAAATGGTATAGAGTCTCTTGCTGGAGCTGTTGTGTTGGACAAGAAGACCTCCAAGGTCCCTTCCAATTCTGGATGTTCTGTTCTATGAGCAATTATCTTACTTGGATGTCCAGGCAACTTCCTTCTCCCTGTATAATGTTTCCCATCATTTTTAACACCACATTTGTTTTTAGAGAGAAAATCTACTAAGGATAATATTTGGTATTTGCACAGGTGTGCCCTGCATCCGGACTGTCCATCTCCCAGGCCTTTGTGTTAGGAAACCTCATTACTACATTCCTGCCTTCTGCAATATGTTGCCCTCATGATGGAATGCAACTGGCTTGGAATTCTGGGAATCGCAGTCCAGCACAACTGGGAAGCAGCAGATGAAGAAAGAGTAAGTTATATTTGTTTACATTAACAAAGAATAAGCAAAAATATTAAAAGGAAGCTGTGACTTTATTTGGGACAGTGGCAATTTGTTGCTTCTTGTATTTACCAGTTGGACTTTAATGTTTACAAAAGGGTTTGCTAAGATGTTTTTATTTCCGTGTATCTAGCATAGATTTCTTCAATAACCAAGCACCTATATACATAATTTCTTTAATTTATGTGTATCCAAGAGTTCATTCTACCAAATATTTATAATTTACAGATGATCACTATGAGCATTGTTCTGTTTCTAAGAAGCATTTTCTAGTCTCGGCCAGCAAGACACATTTTTTTTCACTTGGATGTAAAATGTATTTAGAATACACCATGGCTTGCAAAATGCTTCCTGTATTAGAGGGTACTTTTTTCTTTAATATTTCCCAAGTTCTGTTACTCAGTTTTTAAATGCGCGAAAGATTTGAACACCCTCTCAAAGCTGAGTACATATGGCTCCATTTGCAAGATTTGTAAATTTCCCCAATGAAGACAGACTCTGGGTGG